TGTGTCCTTTAACCTTTGTACTGGTGACTAATATTAAATTAAGCTATTGTGAGAAAAACACCTGCTGTGTGTAAATGGCCAACACTGTTAGTACTGAATCAATGCAACCCTAACTTCACCTGAAATACGTTTGTACAGCAGGATTATCTAACATTCCCTGCTTACTCACATTACATCCACCTCCTAACGCTGCATTTTCTGCTCTCTGTGGCGAAGTCACCGTGAACTTGCGTTGTCATGAACGTTCGTCGGAGCTGTGGTTTCGGGGAACACCTGCGTTACTAAACGATGGTGCGTACCATGTACGTAACCAACTTAGTTACCTCCGTAGTTCAAACGAGGGTTTTGGGAAACAGTTACGTTGCAACCGTTCCAACCAAGGAAGCTGCTGCCGTAGTTATCGATGCTTTTGGGAAACGCGACCCTGTACGGCTGTAATTAACACTGACAACACGACTGAGGTTGAGCGTCCGGACAATGAACAGCAGTTTTGTTTCTGCACTTCCATAACGTGCACGCCCTCATATGACGTTTTTATACTTAGAATATACTTGAGTGACATTTTGGAGAAACATAATTCCTGCTTTGGTGCAATCTGTCTTATTTTTAGTTGATTGTAATCGTGGGTGTAAATTTCATCTAGCGTTTGAGGGGCGGGGCAATACACAAAAACTTTCTCGAGCACACAAATATTATGGCCAAAATTGTACTTGTATGAGATATGTGTACACAGAGGAAAGCATTACTACTATTATTAATGCAGCATAAAGACCGTGATGTTAATTAAAACACCTTAATATTGGGACACCTTAATATTCTGTTCTTTCTTGGCGTGTTTGGTGAACTGAAAAATTATCTTATGTCTGTATTTCTTTTCTCTGTCATTCTGTCAGTGGTAGATCTACAATATTAGCATGATATCAGTTCACACTTATCGCCCTGTTAGCTCTAGGGGGTAACTTACTATCCAACAAGCTCCTAAACAACCCTGATAACATTGTAACATAGTGGGCTCATGGAAAAATGAATCAGTTATCTAATTGTTTTTGTCCTGATTTAGTTATTAAAGTGGTCACATTATGCACATTTTCAGGTTCCTCATCTTATTTAGAGGTTGTACCAGAGCAGGTTTACATGGTTATATTTTTGTCATACTGCACATTGCTGCAGCTCCTCTTTTCAGCCTGTGTTGAAGGCTTCGTTTTAGCTATGGAGTGATACATCTTGTCTCTAAATGATCTTTGTTGGGAGTTGCACATGCTCAGTTCCTAGTTAAGGACTACTAGCCAATCAGAAGCAGAGAAGGGCGGGTCAGCGAGAAGCCGGTAAACAGCTCGGGTTCAGCCGTACGTGTTGCCGACCGGCTCGGCAACACGGACTGGAGCGAGAGTTTCAGAGCGGTGAGTTATTAATCTGTATCCATAAAGTTTTAACTGAGCTCTGTCTCTACATCACAGGAACAACTTTATGTCCCTGTGACGTCACAGGGATGAAAGGGAAGCGGCTGGACTACAAACGAGCTGTTTTCAGTTCAGAGCAGAGTTTTCTGTGGGAGGTGGGAACTCCCTTTGGGCTTTTTCACTTTGCAAACCTGTTACAGCACAAAAAAGGAATATAACTCAATAAAGGAGAGGGGAAAGTCATAAAGCAGAATACCAGCTCTTTAATGACTCAGCATCACCTGTGTTAAACAGAAAACAATCAGTTCAATGTATTTAGTGAATAAAATAGCCCTGACAGCTGAACATCACCTTACTGGAGTTCCTCAACTACTGAAGAGATTTTGAATATCCTGACCCCACCCTGCTGAACACTAATTATTTTAGTCTGTTATTTCAAAAAAAAAGATTCCCAAATTCCAGCTACTTAAATGTTTTTTCTCTTGTGACAGTTAACTGGAAATATTTTGGTATTTTCTAAAATTTTTAATGGATCGAGAAAATAATCAATAGATTAATCGGTAATCAATTTATATTCATGGCAGCTGTAAGAGGTTAACAAGGTTTGGGAACTGACTGTGGGCTTGTTCTCCAGCTTCTGCTGTGACGGTCGACCTCAGCGAGCTGTGTGTTTGCTACTAATTCACTCTGTTGTGTTTAACATGTTTAGCAGGATAGAAACTTCCAGGAGACAGTTTTTCCGCAGGTGTTTTTTTAAACCAGATTTCGTCGGATTAAATTGTATTTTTTTATATTGTAATAAAGCAAATACCTGCACTGGGCAGTTTCTAATGTACTTTTTTAAGCTGCTGAGTCAATAACAGATTTTTCACTTGAGTGCCACTATTCCTCATAAGATATTAAGCTGGTCTGAAACAAGATGTGAATCCTGGTCAGGTCACATGACTCCCTGGTTAAATACTAAACGGTTTGTGATTTTGATCTATTCCCTCCTTTCTAACGCTTTCCTTCCTCATGAAAGGGAGTTTTTCCTGAGGACAGAGGGCATCGTGTGCTGAGCATACTGTAAAGGCCCCTGAGGCAAAAACAGGTGAGGCGGGAAGCTCCAACCACACTGACGGTGTGTTTGTGTGCATGTAAAACACACAACAGCAGCAAACTGTAGTGAAGAAGATGACGGACGCCTGTTAGTCCAAGTCTCCGTGCGTCTCTGATTCTGCAAAACAAAAAGACAAACGTGTCTGTAGACGATGTCGTATCAGCACACACACCCAAACACACACACGGACACTCGTGGGAATCCTCCTGCTAATTAACTGACTGCTTGTTCAATATTCATGACTGTAAAAGTTTAATTTGCAGCCTGTTATTATTAATAATAAAAAATTTATGGATTAATTTTGTTGTTAGTTAATATTGTAAATATTATCAGTTGTATTTAATTCAGTTTATTTATCCCAGTGATGACGGCAGCTCGCCTCCAACAAAAGAAGAAACCCCAAAACTAAAACAATCAAAGGCTGTGAGGTAACGAAATGTGAGTGAAAATGATAATAAATACATTAAGAACTAAAAGATATGTTGAATTTGTTGGTGACAAAAGGAAGTCCTCTTTAAACCGACCTGAACAAAACTCAGAAGCGTTCAATTACAGTTTTAAATAAGAATATATACATTTATAATACTAGTGTCAATATTTCTATTTTACTTTAAATATAACATCTTTTAATAACATCTGATTGTCTTCAGGGTGACCAGCTGTAAGGCTTTGGCACGAAGACAGAGAGACTTTAAAATTCAAATATTTACATTCAGTTCAAGAAAGAGAGAAAAAAAATCTGAAACTACGAGCTACAGACTGCAGTTATCCTTATTAATAACTGATCAATAAAACTCTAAACAAAAAACGAAACAAATCAAAATAAAATAATTTAATCAAATTCTGAATCATCAATTTATTATTTTAATTTTCCTTAAGTTTCAGAAACACAAAATGTAATAATAAATGAATTAATAATAAAACACAGTACAAAATAATAAAAAGAAATGGTAAGGCTGCCTGTAGAGATGTTGCATAAATAAACATACAAATCGACAATAAAAACAAACATTTGAACAATAAAAACAAAATGTTTGAAGAATAAAAACAATAAAAAGCAAACGTCGGAATAGAAAAATTAAATAAAAACAAAACTTTTGAATAATAAAAACAATTAAAAAACAAACATTTGAATAATAAAAACAAAATGTTTGAAGAATGAAAATAAAAAGCAAACGTCTGAATAATAAACAGATGGAGTGGTGGTGACAGTAACGAGGATCTGATGGAGTCTGAGCTTTCGGAGCGTGTCGCTGCATCCTGAACGCCCCTTCAGATCATCAGCTCACAGGTCAAAGGTCAGACGTGTGAAAGTGGCTGTTTGGTGTCAACCCCCCCCCCCCCCCGAGCATTAAAACCAACAATCAAACACTTTCTGATTTTATGGAAACAAAAACATAATAAAACAAAATTTATCAGCTGCTTTTTAATCATAATAATTTAATAACATGACTAAATTACAAAAATGTGATTGTCCTCTGAGTGTTGTGTTTTTGGTATTTTTACATGTTAGAAAAAATTGTTCTCTCTTCAACACTTATTGATTATTGATTGATTTTATATCTTTAACAGTTAACATAAAGCCTCTCCATTAAAGGGCACACATGAGGAGTGCTTTATATTATCATTACTGGTATTATAACATCCTGAAACATGTCAATGTGTTTCATAGTTAATTAATTAATAATAATAATAAAAACCAACGGATGATTCCCTGCTGTTTGCAGAATTGTGACATGACAGAAATGGTTATTTTCATTTCTCAACAAATTAAGTTCCTTAATAAAGTTCACAGGAAAATAAAAACTCATCTTCAATCCTGCAGAATTTAATCATTTAAACCAACGGGATTTAATAATAATAATAATAATAATAATAATAATAATAATAACAATAACAACAATAATAATAATAATAATAGGGTTAGACAACCTAAAAAGAAAAAATATCTGAATACCTAAAACAGCTGAAATGAAACCAAAAGAAAAACCTTCAGTTTGTCTTTTTATCATTAATGAATTTAGATCATCTGAGAGGTTAAAGACAAAAGTGAAATTTATTTTTAGCGATTTAAAAACGAGTTCGTCCTTTAAATAAAGCCTTAGGCTACATGTCACCGTGTGTTCATGATTAAAAGAACATTTAAGAGACCAAAGTCTTTTTAAATTCGATCAAACTGAGGGTTGAGTGTTAAAGAAGAAGATGAAGATCATTTAAGGATCGATCTCTTCACAGCTGAGCGACATTCAGTTAAATGAATTTCTAATGTTTGTGTAATTAAGTTGTTTAAACCATGTTTAAGAAGTGATTGTCCCACATTGTGAGGGTTCAGTGTTTCTTTATCTGACCCTAATGCAAATCAGAGAGACAAAGCAAAGTGCCATTAAAGCTTCAGCTCTCAGCGTCTCTATTTGTCAACGCAAATTGGTTAGCCCCCCCCCCCCCCCCCCCCCCCACACACACACACACTGTGCGTAAAATGTTGCCCAACATACCTCCACAGAGCGCAGCTCCGCCACAAACATCCCGAAGCCAGGATTCCTGCTCGGCTTGTCTCTTTTTGCGGCTTCAGACGGACTGACTCGTGTTGGCTCAGCGCGTCCATGTAAAGACGCGTGAATGAAACCATAGTGCGCCCCCGTTTCCCCCTGAGCCCCTCCCTCCTCCTCCTCCTCCTGGCTGTGATCATGTGATGGTGAAGAAGTGGCCCATTAATGAAGCTCCTCTCCGGGGGTCTTTTCTGCTGCTGTCACCGCGGTCCAGCCCGCAGACGGGACAGACCGGGACAGGGACATGGAGGAGGCAGCAGCAGCCGCTTAGCGCAGCTCAGCAGCGGGCAGGAGGAGGACGGACACCGCGCTGCACCTGCCGGGGACCCGCAGCAGGCGCGCAGGACACAGAGGAGGGACCCGCCGCTGCTCCTTTAACTTCTCCTCAACTTGTCGGCGGAGCTGCGTGTCAGACGCGGGACCATGCGTGCCAAACAGCAGGCGAGCTTCTCTCCGTGCGTAACGGCGTTTTAAAGAGTTGGAACTGTTTGGACAAACTTTGGGAAAGTGAGGCGAGTCTTTACTGCTCTCTGCACACTGAGACTGAACTCATCCGGTCCGGTCCGGCAGAATAATGCCTCGCCCGGGGAGGAACACGTACAGCGACCAGAAGCCTCCGTACTCTTACATCTCCCTCACGGCCATGGCCATCCAGAGCTGCCCGGAGAAGATGCTCCCCCTCAGTGAGATTTACAAGTTCATCATGGACCGGTTCCCTTACTACCGGGAGAACACGCAGCGGTGGCAGAACTCCCTGCGGCACAACCTCTCCTTCAATGACTGCTTCATTAAGATCCCCCGCAGACCGGATCAGCCCGGTAAGGGCAGCTTTTGGGCTCTGCACCCGAGCTGCGGCGACATGTTTGAGAACGGGAGTTTTCTGCGGCGCAGGAAGCGCTTTAAAGTGGGCGGCATGCAGGCCACGGACCCGCTGGCGCCCAGCAAGCCGCAGCAGGACGCGGCCCACTACCTGCAGCAGCAGGCCAAGCTGCGGCTCAGCGCGCTGCACGCCGCCGCGCACCTCCCGCAGATGACGGGCGGGTACAACCTGAGCCCGGTGTCCCAGCCGTCCAGCTTCAAACACCCGTTCGCCATCGAGAACATCATCGCCAGAGAGTACAAGATGCCGGGCGGGCTGGCGGCCTTCTCCACCACCGGGTACCCGCTCCACAGCCAGCTGACCCCGGCCTGGCCGCACATGTACGGCTCCGGGATGATGGACACAGCGGCCCCCATCTCCATGGCCACCGGCGACTACTCAGCCTACGGCGTGCCGCTCAAGTCCATCTGTCACGGGGGCCAGACTCTGCCCGCCATCCCGGTGCCCATCAAACCCACGCCCGGCTCAATGCCCGGCCTGCCGGGGCTGCACACGCACATTCCGGCCTTCCTCGCGAACTCGCCCCAGTCTCTGAGCCCCACCTCTCCGCAGACAGCCACCGGCCAGAGCAGCCCCGCAGGACCCGGAGAGGTGCTGTCCTCCTCGGCCTCCGCGGTGGCGGTGCACTGACTGGACTCGGACTCTGTTCTCTTTTTATAAAATAAAATAAAAACTCTCTGAAAAGGGGAAAATGACAAAGTTTCCTCTCCAGGACAGATGCTGGGATGTGGTTTAATTATTAGGATTTTTTTCTTTATTGTGTTTTTATTTCTGAAAAGAAAGAAATTCATCCATCACACCTCCATCATGCAGAGAAACAGCAGGTTGACCTCTGACCTCCGGTCAACAACAACAGGCTCATTACAGCCTGAAGATTTTCCATAATTAGTTTTCCCTGTGAGTCAGTGTCAGAAACTAAAATCAGTTTCTGTTCCTCCACAGCAGACTGCTGCTCCCGGTCTGATCGGGTCTGACAAATGATCCAGATCTTTTGTGTTTGCAGCCTTTTCTCCTCAAAGTGAAAGAGAACTCTTTAGATTAATGACTTTTTAAAAGATTTTAGGCCTCTCTGCTGTTTCTTTTCTGGCCCCCAAAACAAAAAGTTAAACTCAAAAGGAAGAAAAATGTTTTGCACTTGCAGAATTTGTCTTCTGAACAAAAACTCAACTATAAAAATGCAAACAAGCATTTAGTGAACCAAATAAATACCCAGTCTTTTCTCTTCCTATTTTAATATTGTGTTTATTATTTTATGGTCCACATGGCAGAGATGAGAAGATGAAATATCATATATTTATGTCAGAGGTTTCTGGAGATGTCTGACCATGAATGCAAAGATCTGCTGTCTCCGATGCACTTTCTAAAAAAAGGAAATAGATGTTTTTTATTGAGCCGTGTTGGTTTCATTTAAAGCTGTAAAATGACCCGCTGTCTGTGTGTTTGTACTGCCGCATGCTCCTCCTGACTGTCTGAAAAAGAAAAAATAATCCAGTGTTTGTAATTTTTTACATTTTTTTTTTATTTTAGGGGCTGAAAGCATAAAGCATGAACACAACGGGCTTTTTATTCCCTGCGCTCTGTCTGCTCATCCTGATCCATTAAAAAAACCTTCCTGGAAAAAATAGAAGAGGCCTGTTATTCTCTCTCTCTCACACACACAAACGCACTGTTATTTATTTATGTATTTTACATTTTGGAAGATTTTCTTCTTCTTCTCCACATTTCACGAGCAGAAATTTTTACTCAATTTATTTAGTCTGAGAGCAAATATTCCAAAATGTCCAGTTGTCAGGAGCTCGGAGACGCAGCCTGGTTTCAGCTTTCAGATATAATTTAAAATAGCTTTAATAAAAGGTGGAGAGAGAATGAAATGTTCTGGTTTAAATATCGACCCAAATATGAAAACATAATTTTCTAACTTAATGAGAAAATTATGATTTGACCAAAATCTGAACAGGGATTTTTTTCTGTTCTAATAAAAAAACATGTAAGTCAGTTAACATGAGTTCTCTTTACGTGACTTACATTCATAAATCAGCTGTGAGGTCTGTTTCTCCCGCCTGATGGAGAATTTTCCCAACATGTTGGAACATGTGACGTATAAATCACTTCAAGATAAGATGTTCCTTTATTAATACGACTGATCTGAACGCTGGAGGTACAGCATTTTTCACCTGTCACATATTTGTTATTACATTTCACTGTAAATTTCTGGCAGCAGTCTGAGTTATTCTGTCTGAGCACTTTCCCCACAGATTCTGTTAAATATATAGAACTTGACTTTGTGCCTGTTACACGCCTGCAGGACACGTGGACAGAAAAATAAAAGAAACGGGTGTTTTAAAATATTTATTTAGCCGCTTTTAAATGAACAGTGCAAAACTAACGTTCAATGTTCACATTTTGTGCAAAAGAAATAAAAAACTAATAAATAAACTGTCCTGGCAGAGAGTAAAATGCAAACTATGCATGAATACATTGATTATAATAATACAATATATTATAGTTTCAGCATAAAGCGTACATTTTGCTGATTGTACCTACATACTAATACTTGCAGTGGAGTTTTTTTCCCAGTGTGGAAATGAAGTAAAGCATCTGATTGCTTCCTCTGCCGCTGTGAAAATGAACAATGCATCATTTCGATGGATGGATTTAAAGATTAGATTCAACTTTATTGTCTTTATGCAGAGTTACGGGTACAGAGCTAATGAAACGCAGTTAGCATCTAACCACAAGTCTTACATCTCCACTTTCCTAGACTCTAATTCAAATCCCTGCTTTTAAAGTGAATATAAAAATGCTCATGTGGAGACGTTTTATCTGCATTACATGGGACAAGTCTGTGAGGAAGATTTGAAGATGTAATCGCTGTCGTCAATCTCATTGTTGATCATATCTTACAATAAACACAGTGGAGTCTGTGTGAACAGCAGCTATGCATCTGGTTAGTCTGCAGAGTCGAACAACGTTTGTTATTATACTTTCAGTAAGATTATTAAACAGCGTAACGTGTGCATAAAGTTTAGATGGCTCACTATGTCCAACATGTTTCCTTTTAAACCTGAAACAAATTAGTTCATATAAATGTCCAAAAAGCCAAATTCATGACTTTCACTAGAGCTCGCTCTCAGATTGTGGAGAGTCTCGTCACGCTAAAACAAACAAAGTGTATCTTCGTATTTGGATGAACGATCAGTTTGCCTTCAGTGTACACAACATAGATGAGATTAGGTTTATATTTCCGTAGCAAGTCCTGTTTCCCCCCTGAAGCTCCAGAGGAACTTGTTCGAGCCAGCTTCTCGCCTGTGACTGACTGTGGGGATCTGCTGTTCGTGCATGCAGTGTTGCACGTTCTCACAAACGCCAGATCGTCCATCCGTCGGTTTATACAAACTGGAGGAGTGGCCTTCTGTAGCTCCACGTAGACCGTTACACCTGGGTGTTTTAATCTACAAGGCAATCCTTGTTAACTTTGTGGCCTCTTTATCTTTGCGGTCAGTAGTTACCGAACACGGTCAAGCAGGCTTTTAAAAGTCTCATATTGTGCACCCTCAACATGGAACTCCTTACAGAAGAGTCTCCTAAAAGAGAGCTGGATCCACTTGGGGACTTAAGTTCCTGGCTTCCTGGCTGCAGATGTCCTTAATGGGGAGTGTTTCTCATTGGCTGGATTCTTTCAGCGTATATACAAGATGTTTTAATGTGTTGAAGTGTCGTATGTGTTGTCATGCTGTTTTGCTGCCTTTCTTGGCCTGTGAGATTATATCTCACTGGGTTTCTTCTTGGTTAAACATACAAAAATAAATAAATGTAAAAGTATACATTCCCAAACAGACGCTGTACTTTCAAGTTACTGAGTTTAACCCTGCAGACTCTGGGAGGTTAACGTGTGTCTGATAGCGTCAGGTTTCTCTCTCGGCGTGTCCGTTTAGTTTAATCGACTCTCTGCTGCAGTTTCTCTCTAAACGCTGAAAGACGACAGACAGCTCTTCTGCAGAGAGAAAAGCTCGTCTGAAGAGCTTTCTATTCTTCCAGAGTGACGGAGGTCTGGTGTGTAAACACTGGCCGGTTTGTGGAGAGCGGTGAATTAGCAGCAGGCAGCGTCTGGGCGGCCGTAAGGGATTAGCCAGTTAACACTTCCCTGGTGCCAAACACAATTGTGTGCCGTCACTGTGTATAGGTCTTTGAGTGTGTTGCCGAGAGACGGCGACTGTTACCATAAAAATGTCACTTTGTGAACGCCCCCCCCCCTCCCCCTGAGCTTTGTGACCACACACAAGTAAAACAAATGACATTTAAACAGGAAAACTCTCGCCTGCTGCTGTTGACATTCCAGAAGAGCGAAAGACTTAAAAATACTCCAACAGAAGAAACTGTCAAATATTTACTGAGGTAAAAGTAATCAAGTGTTAGCAGTAAAATACACACCGAGGCATTAAGTGTACAAGGTGGGAGAGGAGGAGGAGGAGGAGGAGGAGGAGGAGGGGTCGGCTCTACTCGGATTCAAATGACAGTCGTTCACTCACTTGTTGTCACTGATCTATTGACCAATTTACATTCTGGAGACTGAAACTTTACAAGTTAGAATGAAAACCCCCTTTTTGTTTCTATTTCTGCTCTGCATTTGTTCTGCAATAGCCCTTCAATGGATTTAAATGCAACAATGACCTCGTCTATATCTTTATTGTTAGTCCATCATTCCTGCTCTCCATTTAAATGTAAAATTGATATCAACCTCAGTGTTTCCTGTTCACTCTCTTACAGCCGCTGTGTCGAGTTACAGCTGAAGCTGACGCATCGTGATCCATGTCGAGGGTCTGAAGGAACATATATATGTTGAACAACTTTAAAGCCAAGGTGTATGAATAACGTGCAGATTTCTTAAGTCATTTGGCGTGGTATTCCAACGGATTCTTTGCAGTTTGCATGTCATTTCACGCCGTTTAGGCTGCACTGACTTGTATTGTGCAGAAACTGCGGGCCAATTTACGCTTACTGTCGCAGGTAAAATCAGCCTGTGTGGGATGTAAATAGCCATGAAAGTCTGACAGTGAGGTGGTGGAGGGGTGGTCGGGTGGATAGTAAGTTGGTCCTTGATCCAGGAGACCAGCGTTCGGTTCCTGAGTGAAACAATAACTTCACAACGTTAGTTTATGGTTTTTATTAATGTTACGTAAGTTATCATGCTACATCGTTTAGCTTTATAGCGTTAGCATTAGCTGCTAAGTTAAGTCACATTACGTAAGTTGCTACATCATTACTAATGTTAGCTCCATAGCAGTAGCTACATTAAAGTTCAAGTAGCAAACTAGCTAACGATGCTACCGCTGACATCCCCCTCGATGTACTTTGTTGCTAAACTTAACCATCATTAATTAAATATGCATGTTGACCGTTTAACCTCCTTTGTGTTGCCTGAACAGCGTGTGCGTCTGCACAATAGCTTTGGAAAAGTCGTGTCTATTGTATGCCAAACGGCGAGTTTGCGTGAATAGTGGACGTCCCCAGGTACATGTGTGTGAGACGCATCCAGGCCATGTGTGAACTGACGCCCCGGGGTAACTAACTAACTAGCTAGCTAGCGATGTTTTTGTTTAAGGAGTCCCCACCGAGGCAACTTCCCTAACCTCGATAACACCTGCAGGGACTACAGTCGAACATTAGCCAAGCTGGCTAAACTGGCACATTTACAGAAATGTTTATCAATGTGTGCTGTATCTGTAAACTTAAACTCTATAAATAAATAAAAAAAACACATGGCATTAGTTAGCGCCTAAACCTAAATATTTGCATGTCGACTCATTTGTGTTGCAATGCTATTATTCCAGCGTATCATATACACGCAAAATATTTGTGTACAATAGACACGGCTTTTCCAAAGCGTGTGACGCGTTAGATGCGATCGGGCTGTAAATCCACGACTTCAACCACTCGTTTTATTTTGAAAGTCTAACCGGACTTTGCACATTTATTCTTGCTAACTTGACAGCGGAGCCTACAGTACATGTGCAAAAAGCGACACTAAAGGGATTTTGACCAAGCGTCCATATGAGAGGGAGTGAGAATGTGAATCTCTGAATGCAATTTGTAACCCTCACCACTAGATAGACTAAAACTTACACACTGAACCTTTAAGTTAAGATAGGAAGAGTCTACTTTGGTATTACAGAAGAAAACTAACTTTAGGACCCCTATTTTAGCTCAGATTAGGAAATCCTAAATACTCAATCCAACATCGTTTATCAACGTCTGTTACCTACCAACCGATGCCACTCCTACTTTTTTATTATCTTGCCAAACTAAACGAATTAAAACATACTGAAATATATAATTGAAAAGGCATTAAACATCAAGACAGATGAGTCAGAGGTGTTGGTAACCTGTTGAGGAATCCAAAGTTACAACGCGTTACTCAGGAGAAAGAGAGTGGGCTAAGATAGCAGACACAGTGCTAGCAAAAAGAAAAATAATTACACTAACAGGTGATTTGAAGAGAAGCTCTTGTGTCCAATGAGCAGAAGTGGTGGCTCCTCCTGGGCTCCGTCACCGGCAGAAACCCGTACTCTGGGTCTCCTCAGGAAAGCAAATTATGAAGGTAACAAAGGCTGCGCACCAGGGG